GTTTAGTGGCGGGGGGGGGGGGGGGGGGGGGTTATAGGTAACATGACCATAGGTTTAGCTTCACTGCCTTGGGATTCAAAGAAATTAAGCTTATATCTGGAGCTTCTCACACAGATATTGTGAATCGGGACAAATTATGTAGCGGTTTCCTTAACTGCTGCATAGTGTATTTAGGGCAATATTAGAAAGGGAGACCAAAGTTCACATTTTGCTTTGGGAAACAGGGAAGTTTATCTGTTCTCTGACACTCTGTTCCCTTCACACTGTACTCCAAGCTTGGAAATCGTTCTGCAAAAATATAAAATGAATGTATGTGAAAAATGCATTATGGTATACCTAAATTGGGGCCAGTTATTTTCCGATAGGGCTCAAGTACAGTTATTCAGTGTAAAGAGCAATAATGAAGGGCATAGCACTGTTACCTTTAGCAACCAAGAAGCTTCCAGTTCATTGCCTCCTGAATAGTAAATGTGAGAAAATCTAACAAAATAAACTGTAGTACCTTTAATATCGAAATACAATGGAAGACATTTTAAACAATAAATGCACAAGGGGCGTACTTAATAAGCTTACTTATTGCTTTCCTGTTGTCCTGTACCTTGGTGAAGTCTGAGTTGACAAGGGCGGACCCTGGATGGCAGAACAGATGCGCAGGGACACATAGTGGCACATGTGCTGGAAGATGTTTCTGTGGGAAGGTCAGTCTTTGCAAAGCCAATGCGTCCTGGGCTGGAAGTAGGTAAAGGAGAGGAACACTAGGAAGCCGAGTTTCAGAAGAGCCATAGTCAGAAATAACTGGGTCGTCAACAGGCGGGCAGAGCAGTACCAGGCGACAAACAGGAGCAAGGTCAGGAACAAGCCAGGGTTGGTAACGTGCAGACAGTGTGGTACAGGGTGGCAGGCAGAAGCAATGTTCGATGAACAAGCCAAGATCACGGGAACACAGCCTAGCAAGAAGAAATGTCAAACAAGCCGAATCGGTGACAGATGAACAATCAGAACACAGGATATTGGAAGTACAGGAAGGCTGTTGATCACTCAGTACCAGAGGCCTGGGCGTCCCGGCCTAAAAAGCCCACAGGGCTCCAGAATTCTCTATACTTGGGCGTGCAAGTTGACACGTGGTGGAACATGTGCACAAACGCGCACACATCTACGCAGAGGTGCCACTACTCTATGAACCAGGCGCATGCGTTTGTGCAGAACTCTGGCTTTGGCTTCTTGACAAAAAGAAAAATGATATTTAGTACGTGTCTGCAATACAGTAACATTTCCCCATGTTTGGACTCTTAAAAAAATGCTACAAGTACAAGAAAATATCTTTTGATCTCCCAGAATTACAGTGAGTTCCTAATTCCATGTTTGAGTCAACAACTCTAAAATCCCAACTAGTGTTGTCAGGGAGAAGCAAAGAGAGGAACAAGAGCAAAAGTAAATATTGCATTCTCCCACATGCAGTATAAGACTACTTTCCCACTTGTTTGTCCACTTTTGCCCCCTGCTGGTATTGACACTAATGAATCAGCACAGGGACGCAGAATCTGCATTTTGCCTCATTCACGCTGACATAAGGCCACAATTATACTGGCTTTAAAAGAGGGTGGTTGTGTTTGCCCACCAAGCAACCACCTGACTTTGGGGTGAAAGAGTACATTAAACCATACAACACACCAGCAATTACTTCACCTCTTGCTGTACCCAGTTCATGCCTGCAGCAAAATGTCCTGCACTATACGTGGTTCAGAAGCAAATGGCAAACGAGGCGCTGGACTGGTATCTTTCTTACATTTTTCAGAAAATTGGTAGCTCTTCTGCAGGAATCAGGGGACCCCCTAGGTGAGGGGATAGGACTCAAATCGGAAAATTCAAATGTAATGGATAGATTGAGAGTGCCAGACCAATAGAAGTTTAGAGTTCAAAATCTTTTAATCACTCAATTGATGATAACAAAAACAACAGTAGATAGCCAATGCGTTTCGGGGGCTGCAATTTCCCCCTCCATAAGGGCTAAATGGAAATAATAAAGTTTTGGAAGGACCCAATGGTTTCTGGGCTGACTGCATTCAGAGATGAAAAGGCCAATTGATCAGTAGTAATGCCAGCAAGGACAGCCAAAATGATTTCCTTGCTGTCATTACTACTGACCAATTGGACTTTTCAGAAGCCATTATTTGGGTTTTCCAAAACATTATTATTTCCATTCAGCCCTGATAAAAGGGGGAAATTGTAGCCCCTGAAACGTGTTGGCTATCTACTGTTTTTTTTTAATGGAACGCTTCATGAATTTGCGTGTCATCCTTGCGCATGGGCCATGCTAATCTTCTCTGTATCGTTCCAATTTTTTTTTATGTCCTGCCGAAAGGACTCTACTGTTGTTTTTATTATCAGTTGAGTGATTAAAGATTTTGGACTTCTCTTGGTTTGGCGCTCTCATTCTACCCTGCACTATATATTTCAGGCTGCCTCAATTTCATTGATACCTCCAAAATCCAAGTCCCCCCTGGCAAGTGTGAGTTTAAAAGTAACAATACACCATTAGGAGGAGATCAGACCCTTGGAAGATCGCATTTTCACCTGGAACATCCTTCTACTGGAAAGCACTGGTCATCTTAATCTTCATTTGAAGTTTGTTGCGCTTCATGCTGTCAGCAGGGCCACCCACGGCTCAAGTTTCGTCCAATTTACAGAAATTGGAATTGGAAAAAATTCTGACATGCCTGGCCAGCTTAAAACTGTGCACACCTTTTGTTTCTGCTACACATGGAATGTATTTTAGCTTATTTAAACTGAGAGTTCAAATGGGCTTTTTAGTAGAAGATTACCTTACATTTTCCACCTTGTCCAACTGATGTCCTGAGACTACACTGATCTGAAGTCAATGTTCTCCCTTCGTACAAACTTTCACAGCAAAACCTTCTGGGATATTTAGGCTAATTCTATCTCACATGTGGATCAATTTTAATCATATCCGACTGACTTTTCATCACTTGTAGACCAAAGTGATCTACCGTGGTTGTTCATGCATTATAAACATAGAGATAAAGATCGAGTCTAACCTCCCCATATTAGAAAATGGACATCTCCTGCCGATACCCAGCTTTAACTTGCTAAATGTCCGTCATTAACAGGGATGTCCCTTGCAATAGTTTTTCCCTATTTTCCTTCCACTGAAAAAATTCAAATCATGCTGCTAGTAGGTCATATAAGTGGAGCTATGAGCCCACGGCTGCATTCCATAATGTGTAACAAAGCTATTCAGGTAGCAATCTACTCCTCCCTTCTTCTTTTTCAGCGACTGACAGTAACGCTCGTTCTTGTAACTCTGGTGGCCTCCATCGGGTCATCATTCCAGTATGGATACAATGTGGCTTCTATAAACTCTCCATCACCTGTATGTACTTCAAATACTTTATGAAAACATATTTGTATGTAGAATGGCAACACTAGATAACACTATTAAAACTGTGGATAAAGTACAATCTTATCTGGAAGAATGCTAATCATGGATTTTATGAAAATGTTTTGTTACGGTGTGTAAATATTCCTCTTCCTTCTCCTACTCAGCAAGTCTCAGCGGAGAAGACCTGCGGCAAAACACTAAGCTGGCCTGATGCAATGGAATCATTCCCTCTGCTGTTTCTGGCTGACCCGTATTGTCAGGAGAATATAATGGAAGGGGAGACCAATCTATGTAGATAATCAGTGTGTATATTCGCTGCTTTCTACAGTATGTACAAGAAATGAGATAAAGATGTTAAAGAAAACTTGTGCTGAGAGAAATATGTAGGTTTCCAATCCTGGTGTCTCCAAAAAAATCTCATTGTAAGTGTCTGGCTGTCAAGCTGATCCTCCAGTGGATTCAATACATTCTGACCTGGAACAAATATGCAGATCAGGACTTCTGATTTCACTTACTGCATGTTTGTTCTGGGCAAGTGTCTACTGTCTTCCTTTTGTCAACTTATCATTCTAAAACTATACCTAACCTTTTTATTAGCTTAGAATTGTTGCTTTAAGGAAACCTGTTATAAGAAAATATGTAGGCTGCCATTGCTGTGCCTTTCTTTTGAAAGTGGAAGTTATCTGGCTGTCATAATGATGCTTTGGCTTAAAGGAGAACTATGGGGTTAGGGCTTTTCCCCATAGTTCTCCTTAGGGTAACGGGAGGACACAAACTAGCGTCCTCCAGTCACCCTAAGCTCAGTATATCGCGAGCTACAGCTTGCGGTATACTGAGACGCCGCAGCTGAAGCGGATCCCCACAATTATGTATGGATCCGCCTAGCTGCGTGAGTGACAGCTGGGTCTGCCTATCTAGAGGCAGAGCCAGCTGTACCCGCCCCCTCCCATGTCCGTTCCGCCAGTCAGCGCTGGAGGATCGGAGCGGGGAGGGGGGAGAATCCAGTCCCTTCCCTGTCACGGCAGAGAGCCGTGACAGGATCAAGAAGTGAGCGAACGCCGGTATGTGTTCGCTCACTTCCCGATCTACTGAGCCGACCTGTGACAGTTTCATTGTCACAGGTCGGCTAGAACTATGAGGATGAGTGAAAAGCACTAGCCTCATAGTTCTCCTTTAAGTACTTTGAGTCATGGCCGTGAAACAAGTAATGCTATCATTTTTTTTCTACTTTTTTCTAATGTCAAAGGGGTTGATTTACTAAAGGCAAATAGGCTGTTCACCTTGCAAGGGAATTTCCCCTTGCTTAGTGAATGAGGTGACGCTCTGTTGACTTCCATCACCCAATCATGTGCATGCAAGAATATTGTTGGTTTTTTTTTCCTTGCACATGATTGGTTATTCTTTACTAAGTGAATTTTCACCACATTCATTACGCTATGGGAACATTTCCTAGCAAACAGAACAGCCTATTTGCCTTTAGTAAATCAACCCTAAGGACTCAAAATAATTGAAGCCTGTTAACTAGCATTTTCATCTGGTCATCCCTGACTTTCAGAAAGTCAATATTTTCAAGGAACTTAAGTGACTTTGACAGTAAAGACATGATGTGGCACCCAATGGTACATGCTGTACAAATGCAGGCTTATATCACCTGAGGGTCATACCGATTTATTTAAAATGAAGCCTAACTAAGTGACACATCAGCAGCACTGGGGAATTAGTGTATTTTTGTGCAGTGGAATCTGTCAGTCTGTGATTTTAGTATATGTTGTAAGGACAAATGTATGACATTTCAGTAAATGAAAATCCCCTGGGGAGTTCTATGACCTTTAAGAATGCACATGGCCGCAATCTTGTATATCAATATGACCACTGCTAATCCCAATATCCTTATAATCTGCTGTAGGAGGTATCGCATTCCTGTTTAGAAAATAATGCCAAGCTAATATGATTTTAAAAAATCAATAAATTAATTGTAAAGCTGATCAATGGTCAGAATTGTGAATTTTGACAGTGACAATAAGAAAATTGTAAACACTCAACAACCATTAATACAAAATCTAGTTTATTACTATGTTCATGCCTAGATAGAGTACTTTCCTGTGTTCGCACATGGAAATGCAGAAGTAGATGGCAACCAGTCACAGTCTACAGTGGTGCTGAGCTCTGGTCCTCAATGGCACCAATGCTGCATGTTTTCCTCTGTATCAGGTAAAGGCACAAATGCCTAATTAGTTACTTAAACAAAGGAACACCATTTGGTCTTGTGTACACTAGGTTGGTTGAAAAGAGAAAGCAATGTACCGTTATTTTTGTCTAGTCCAGCATTTTACAACCTTTTTCTAATCATGGCATCCTATAAAACCATGCAAAATCTGGAGGCACCCTAGTCAATAATCTAAAAAAACCTAAATGTAAAAAAAAATGATGTGTAGATTCTAGATAGGGGCTGGTATGGATTTTAAGGGGGATCCCATGGAAAACAAAAAAGACAACAAGAAGTTCCTCCCTTCACATTAGAAGCCACCCCCCTCCCCCTTTCCCATCAGAGTCCTATAAGCATTACCGCAGTGTGGCTTCAGCAGTTTGACAGAGGTGGGAGGTTGTGTAGGTATGGACAGAGGTGGGCTTCTGTCCTTATCTGAATGCTGGGGGAGGTTCTGGATGCAGCCCACCCTGGATTAGCACTATGTGTTTCCTTGATGCTGGTGGCCATCTCTGCTGCACCATGGAAATGCATTACACTGTGCAGAAATTTTGAAGGCACCCCTGGCAAAGCCAGAAGGTACCCCAGGGTGCCATGGCAGAGTATAGTTTAGGCAAGCCTTCTTTTTATCATCTGAAAGTCTGTAATGAGCCTTTTATATGAAAAGTACTAATGGAAAAATGCCTGCATTTCTAAGTAACATTATGGAACCTTCGTTAGATTTTACAGATCAACAGCATCACCTAGTGGCCCGTTTTCAGGCCTCCGGAAAGTACCAATAGCTGTTAGTATGCCAATAAATGTAATCATTTTTTTTCCCTGTAGTTCATGAAGACATTTTACAATGAAACATACCTCAGTCGCTATCACACTACCCTAACTACGAGCCTACAGAATGTGCTTTGGTCTCTCACTGTGTCCTTATACCCACTGGGTGGATTCTTTGGCTCTTTAATGGTTGGGCCCCTGGTTAACAAAATTGGCAGGTAAGTTCAGAATTGTTTTTTTGTGAATATCCAGACACAAAATTGGAAAATGCCCAAATTGTGTTCAACAGTAAGAGGTTTCCTTGTTTCCTAACTCCCTCCCGGCAGGGGCGTCCTGAGGCTGGGTGACACCCCGTAGCGGTTACCGAGTGTCACCCCGCCGTGATGTCACCGCGTGCGTGCGCAATGACGTCATCGCGCATGCGCGGCGATCTTCTTCATACCTGCCAGCGGCCATCTAGGTGATGGACGCCGGCAGAGAGGAGGGGACAGTCACTCGGCGGGATAAGGTATGCCGCCGGGTCCCCTCCTCTCTCCTGATACTGTTGGGCGCTTGGTCCATGACTGAGTGCCCGACTTTTCAGAGGGGGGTGACACCAAAAATGACTAGTTGGCATTATTATCTATTGCATGTAGGGGAAGAATAGATCTTGTTGCCCCATAACAAGACAGACAATTCTCCCTTTCATTTTTCTCTGATTTATAGATTGTCATCATCTCACTGTACCAAGTAGAAGATACAGACAAATGCAGCTTACAAAAAAAAAAAAAATACGTTAAATGTATTCTAATGACTAGCACATATAGTTGTCCATCAAAACATATACAGTCATAACAACATACTGTACAACAACAAAACTAAAAATCAAGAGGAAAGGGGGTAGAAAGAAGAGTTATGGTAAGAAGTAACTCTGTATAAAATGGCAGTGTCAGGTTGTAGGGGAGCACTATGTCTTGATTAGTGCCTGAAAATCATTTTTTAGGTCAAATTATACTGTTGCCTGGAAAGGTGATTTTTAATAGTGCATTTGGAAGAGTGTAGAGTACTGAAGGGAAAGCGTGTAGAAAGTATGAGGTATATGTAGAAGGAAGCTTGTACCTAGGACAGTATCTGGAAGTTATCAAGGAAATGCGTGGAGAGAGTTTTGTAGGTTAGAACGAGAGGTTTGGACAGAAGAATTTGGTAATTGGCAACCTGTGAGGGAACTGACAGAAAGGAGTAGTATTTGAGGTACAAGAAAAGAGGTGAATGTGTTGCAAAGTTAAGTATAGATTGGAGTTCTGACAGTCTGTTCATTGGTAGACCACAGAAGAGGTGGTACATTAGCCCATCTAAGATATAATAAGGACACACACTAACATTTCAGCAGTATCAGCAGTATCACTCAGGAGAAATTGCCAGATCCAGGATATCTTTATTAAGTAGGACACTACAGGATATGGTTAGCTAGTGAACATAAGATTTAAATTCGAGAGGCACCTACTATTACCTCTAAGCTTGGGCAGCTGGACTTACTAAGATAGTTTTGATGATAATTATCATTTCAGGCATCTCTAGGTCTATATCTATAGAGTGGTGGAAAAATTATATTGGAGAGTCTGAATTGACTGGAATTTGCTCTAAATACCAAGATAAGAGAGATCTCTGCAGCTCAGGGAAGACTATAATAATGAATTGCTTTGTATACACTTTGATGGTATTTGATGAGAGAATTTGCAGGTTAGTTTTGTTTCTGTATCATTCTAAGTAGTTACTACAACATTAAAGTCCATCATAAAAAATAAAATGGTCTATTTATTTGCCAAAAACAATTTTTAAAAAAAGCACTATAGGAAAAAAACAGTAGTGCCTATTTCATAAAAAGTTCCTTCTGCAGGTGACCTTCATCAAAAATAACTGTGTATGGATGGTCTATAGGCATAATGAATTAGGAAATCTCTAAGGTGTGATACACTTCTTTCCTGGTGCCTTTCATGGCAGCATACAAATGATAAGCTCCGCCCCTTATCCCCACCCCCAGGACCAGTAACAATCTATAAAAAAGAGAGATAGAGATTCCCCCTGCATTCTCTTTTTTGTCCTGGCGTCTCTACCTGCGACCAGTCATGTCATCCCTACCTCTGGGTCATAAAGTGACGCAGTGACGCATGGGGTCAGCCTCTCCCAGGTGTAGGTCCAGTTCCTGGACTGCTCAATGCGCCTTTGGGACTGGGAGCCCCTTCTGGCAATTTTTGGGGGCACGTGGTGTCTCGTATATATCCTAATTAGGATTACAAGCGGTGTGGTGGTGAGCAACAGGGCTATTGTGCAGGAGCCCAGGTGGGGATCCGTTTCTAACTGCTTTCCTTTTGCTGCCTCTTTTGTCATCTCCATCTTGGCTTCCACTTCCACAAGCAATTTGCCTCACTGCTCTCTTTCAGTGCTGCATAGAATATCCTTACAACTTAACCTTGTTACAGCTTCCTCTGAGCTCTGGATCAACCAACACTGCAGCAGCAACCACTCCTCTTTAATCAACTTGCAGCTGCTTCCTCCTTGCTCTATGCTTTGCCTCCAGATACAGCTCTGAACGGACTTCCCTGCAGCTGAGTCTGTTGTGCACAAATACTCTTAAGGTGCCCATACACCTTACGACCATCGCAAGACTTTTGTCTTGCGATGGTCGTAAGCTTATTAAAAGCTCGTACGATCTGCCCATCTTGGACAGGCAGATCGTACTTGCGATCATCGAAAGCCTGCCCCGCTGAGGGGCGGGCTTCCGATGACCGCAATGCAGAACGGGCAGTGTGCGCGTGCGCACACCGGCCCGTTCCGCAGCTGTCGAACGAGCAGGCTAGAAACCCGCCAACAATCATACGATTCTCGTGGGTTTTCGAGCATGCTGGTTCGACATAAGACGTGCGACCGTACAGTAAAAACGGTCGCCCGTCTTCATTCACACTGCTCGATTCTCGTACGATCGCGGGCTTTCCCGCTATTCTCGTATGAGAATCGAGTAGTGTATGGGCACCTTTACAACTAGTCTGGGACGGCTCTACTGACCGCAAGTACTACTATTTAATTATGTTTTCAAGACTTTTATTCTGTGAGTAACTACAGTGTGCTCCTGTATGATGACATGCAGGTCTCATATCCTTACCTGCGTTCTACGCATCATCATTTCCACAGTGACTGTACTCCTACATGATGTAATACAGATCTCCAAACCTCAGTGACTTTATTGTTTGGCTGTGTGATGTAATACATGTCTCAAATCCTTACCTGTGTTTAACGCATCATCATTGCCGCAGTGACTGTACTGTACTCCTGTATGATGTAATACAGGTCTCCAAACCATTACTTGTGTTGCACGCATTTCCTCAGTGACTTTATTGTTTGGCTGTGTGATATAATACATGTCTCAAATCCTTACCTGCGTTTAAATCATCATTGCCGCAGTGACTGTACTGTACTCCTGTATGATGTAATACAGGTCTCCAAACTATTACTTGCGTTGCATGCATTTCCTCAGTGACTTTATTGTTTGGCTGTGTGATATAATACATGTCTCAAATCCTTACCTGCGTTTAAATCATCATTGCCGCAGTGACTGTACTGTACTCCTGTATGATGTAATACAGGTCTCCAAACTATTACTTGCGTTGCATGCATTTCCTCAGTGACTTTATTGTTTGGCTGTATGATGTAATACAGGACTCAAACCCATGACCTGCACATACCACATTACCTGCACATACCACTGACCTGTGTATCTGCATTTGAGATCTATCAGAGAAGGCAGGTTGACATATTATCACACTGGGCCTGGCTCTTGTCTTTTGCTGTCACATATTTCTGGAGTTTGTCCTGCTGATGTGTGCAGCCTTCCCTGCAGATCTCTGCCTGATAGTTGCTTCCTTCGGCATGAGTGTGTTGCGAAATATCTTAGTGGACTTTTTTTCAGACACACATAGATTTGCAATAGAGACGGAGGTTTTGTTTGTTTGTTGATAGAAAACTTGGCTCATACAATGGAAGGTGCCAGCTAAACAAACTGAACTGTTTTTACACAATAGTGTAGCTTGTCCTGTATTGATTCGTATCACAATGGGATGGTGATCGTAAACAGTCACGCCTAGCCTGGTCAAGACTCAAATCAAATCTTGACTACTGATGGCAATTTATGGTACAACGCTGCCACCTAGAGGTGGGAAAGTGAAATGTATTGCATTTTCCTAAAGGTGAAAGGGGCGTCGCTTCCAAAGTTTTAGGCCAGTTTTCTCTCAATAAAAAGCCAGTAGCTGAAAGAGAGCACAGCACTTCACCAGACCAGGGTTTCACAGGAGGGGGACAGTACGAGGGCGCTTCACAAGACGAGAGGACTTGCTTCAAGACCAGGACATATAAAGGATACTGCAACGAGAAGCCATTCTTCCTAGGCCAAGTCCTGCTCATCACGGAATTTGTGGAGCCTGCAGCCAGAGCTAAGTACATTTTCAGTGTTTCCCCTCCTAGAAATCATACATGTACTAGAAGATAGTGTAGTGGGTGCATGTTAATGTTTGTAGCAGCCAGTCTTGTTTATGTATTTGTTTGCTTTTCCTGTAACCAAGTTTGTACACGCAGCATTTTCGCCAAATAAAGTACTTTTAATGCTACTGGGTCAGTTTCCTTGAAGTTTACTGCAAGAACAGACAACAAATAGAAATTAAAGTTTTGCTAAGCTTACAGCTGGGCTCATCCTTGAGATAAGCTTGACGTCTCTGGGATTTGTAGTCCAGAGCATTACATTGAGCCGTTCACCATGATTGCAAGAACTGCCATCCGCTTTAAGGTAGGGGACCACCGAACGGGTGAGTACAGACTAAAAGAGAGCTTTTTGGCTGCTTTGTGGGAGGCCACTGGATGTGGTGTGGGCTCATTCAAAGTGAGCTGTGGCAACCTCGTGGGCTGCGTGGGCCAGGGTTCAGATCAAACCCATTGCATTGGGCATTACGGGCTTTCCCCAGGCCTTCTGCCAGCAGTGGACTCTGGGAGACGGTCTGTCCAGGCGTCTTTTGCTGGATGGAGTGTCTTCTTTGGCGTCGCTTTTGCCCACCCTGTCAGCTTGTTATTTATCGTTTGTATGCTGCCATGAAAGGCACCAAGAAAACGGAAAATTGTATCATACTTACCAGTAATTTTCCTTTCCTGGTGCCTGTCTATGGCAGCATACTACCCACCCTGTTTGTGGACGCATGGTTACAAGAATGCAGGGGGAATATCTATCTCTCTTTTTTATAGATTGTTACTGGTCCTGTGGGTGGGGATAAGGGGTGGAGCTTATCGTTTGTATGCTGCCATGGACAGGCACCAGGAAAGGAAAATTACTGTTAAGTATGATACAATTTTCCGTTATAATCCACAAGAAATGAAAGTCCTTCTGAACACTGTCTCCGGCTTTTCTTAGGAAAGGAACCTTGCTGCTCAACAACATATTCTCCATTGTCCCCGCTATTTTAATGGGCACCAGCGTCCTGGCCAAATCTTTTGAGGTCATAATTGCTAGTCGACTGGTAATAGGAATCTGTGCAGGTAGGAAATGTGCACTAGAGAATCATAAAGTATAAAATCATGGTTAAATCAGGGGCTTGTGATTTTTTTGGGTATGTAACAGTACATGTCTTGCATACATAGAGGCTAGTTGTTATACTTTTAGCTATGTTTAAAATTGTTTGCTGGTCCTATATGGTTAATGGGTAAGGTAAGTAAGAAATAATGTAGAAGCAAGAGCTTGGCATGTGCTAAGGTATTTCCATTAGAAGGGTTGGAGCCAAAGATCATGCATCTATAAAGATATGATGGCAACTCAAGGGGATAGGGGTACCTTGGGCACTCCTATGGGCAGCTGAATTCAAGTTTTAGAGAATGAGTACTAAAGATGTCAGATAAATATTGGAGGCAATCAATCAGGAAAATGTTAAGGTACATAAAACAGTAATGCAAGATAGCTGTTTCAGGGTCTGGCAGATTAGGCATACAACTGATATGTTTAAAAAAGCAGTTGATGCAATCATCTATTAATGGCAGAAGTTTATGTCCATAGTGACACCAGAACAAAAGCTTATTAGATGGAATTTGTAAAGAGACAACCTTACAGTGTCTTAAAGTGGAACTCTAGCTATTCTAACGGTGTCCATCCCCTCATCCGCCAGAGACCCCCAGATCTTTTTGTTTAAAAAATAAAAAAAATGATGCCATCATCTAGCCAGTCCATTGACATCAGAGATCCTTTTTTTGGAGGGTGGAATTTGACGTCCTTAGAAATTGTTTTATTTTGAGAGAACAAGAGCCTTACAGCACTGCTTAAGAAAGCAAGCAGACATTTAAGAGAACTATGTAGAAAATATCCCCACCATATTTTTCCAAAATCATCCATATATATAGTGAGGCAGATAAAATATGGGCAACCCACATCATTCATGTGAAATCTATGCGTGATGTGCGATACATATGCATATATGGCTCTTTTTAAATTTTGTGAAAGTAAAAGAAAAATGGAATTAAAAATAGTTATTAATTAACTATTGCTAACATACTTTTAGATGTGCACAACATTCACAATTACTTTATACTTTATACTATTGAACCACAGGAACTGCAAATCTCACTGATAACCTTTTGCTTTACATTTATATCTACTGAAATGACTACTGTATAGCTATTTCACAGGTAAAGTGAAAATAAATATGCATTATGCTGTGTTGGAGAAGTAAACATAAGCATTCTGGTGCTGCTACAGAATAATTTAGACTTAGGCTAAAAGGTATTTAATTACTTTAACATAATTATCGTATATATTACTTTTTGGCCAGGTTTATCTTCCAATGTTGTCCCCATGTACCTTGGAGAAATGTCTCCCAAAAACCTTCGAGGAGGTATTGGTGTGATGCCTCAGCTGTTGATTACCATTGGCATTCTTATGGCACAGATTTTCGGGATCCGATTCATCCTTGGAAATAAAAATGGTATATTTTTGTAATATTTGTACATACAGTATAGAATACAAACCTTCTCAGCAGTCAGCCCTAATAGCCAGCAAAGAGCCCTGGTGGGTAGGGAACCAAATGAATAAAATAAATGGAGAAAAAGTTTAATAATTAGGTATGTTTTTTGAAAGGACAGTACAAAGGACAAGGGGATATACAATAAGTTCCTTATGAAGGATGATTTTGCAAACTGTTAGGAAAGGGCTCTTTACAGTAAAGGCAGTTTAGCTCTGGAATGCTGTGTCACATGAGGTAGTGTTGGTAGAAGTGATACTGGAATATGAAAAAAATAACTTGATGATTTCCTTGTAAATAATAATATGGAAAAGTATCATTACTCAAGGCTAATAGAACAGTGTTTTGATCCAGAAATTGATAATGCTGTCCTTGGGCAGTGAAAACATAAAATTTTTTAACCCCAGCATTGGGAAACGAGTATGGATAGTGTAGCTGATCAGAATTTTAGTCCCTGGAGTATCCCCCAATATTTAACTTGCCCCTTTCTGAACACTGACAGTTAACTATCTTCTAAATTGAACCCTTAACACTAAGGGGTCTATTCACGAAGCAGCCGAAGGATCTAGCCTTAGCTTCGGCTGATCCTTCGGCTAGCTTTGGCCCCAGGACCCCTTCGGTTCAGTTGAACCGAAGGGCTGCTGTACGCGCTATTCACTATAGCCCGTACAGCTCCCGAAGTCGGCCGGGCGGCTCAGTCGAGCTGAAGGCATATGCTTCGGCTCGACTGAGCCGCGGTAAAAGCCGAAGCTGGCCGAGCCACTTGCAGAGAGATCAGCGTCCCTGGTTACCAGCTAACCAGGGACACTGATCTCCAGACAGCTAACTCTCCCGGGCGCTCCGAGAGTCTCCCGCTCCAGGCCGCCCTGGAGAGAAACATTGCTTTTTCTTTTTTATTCTGACACGGAGCCGTTGGCTCGCGTCAGAATAAAAAAAAAAATAGATTTTCACCATAGGAATGCCTTGCTAGATTCCTATTGGCTAATTCAATTTGCAATAGCACTCGCCCACTGCTGCAGTTCTCCATCAGGTCCCCACTAGTGATTGACAGCAGCAGAGGGCGGGTACAATAGCTAGTTTGCTATTGCACCCGCTATTTTGCTATTGACGGCAGCAGAACCGCCGGCCAATAGAAAACAGTTGGGGCGGAGCTAGCTGTCACTGCTAGCTCCGTACAATCATTTTCAAATTATTTTTTATACTTTTTAAATTATTTTTCTGTTCTGCTCGGACCCACAGAGGGACCGAGTAGAACAGCCGAGCCGAATGCCGCCCTGTGGCATTCGGCTATTCACTCACTGCTGTTCGGTATCTATAAGAATAGACCGAACAGCAGCGAGTAGCCTGCCGGAGGTTCGGCTTAGCCGACCAGATGTTGGATCGGCTGAGTCGAACTCCTTCTGCACTTCGGGTCGGCCAAACATGCTGAGCATGTTTGGCCGACCCGAAGCCACGTGAAGCCTCCCAATGTACGGCTGATTTCAGCCGATATACAGCTGAAGTGAATAGCCGAACAGCGTTCGGCTCACTTCTCTTCAGGTCGTTCATTCACTCGGCTGCCTACGGCAGCTTAGTGAATAGACCCCTAAATTTTCGCAACACTGAACCTAACCCCTAAGCTAAGCCCTAACACTATGCTAGAGCGTCTGACCTCAAAGCAAGTCCTACACCAAAATCATGCAGTGCCAACACCTGGCACCAGGGGGACTTCCTCTTGGAACCTGGATCCCATAGAGAAACAATTTAGATGCTGGGATTTTACACACTTGCATTAAACGGGACATATTTATATCACATACACCTTTAGTTAAAAATGGGTGCCACTTCTTACAATTCCTTCTAATATACTACACAGGTTGGCCCATACTGCTAGCTCTCACTGGAATTCCTGCTGTACTAGAGCTGATTTTCCTGCCCTTCTTTCCTGAAAGTCCAAGATACACACTGCTGCACAAGGGCAATGATGAAAAAGCCAGGGCTGGTGAGTGATGCCTAAGATAGAAAACTGTATATAATAATATACACATGTATAGAAACATGACAATATAATCCCACTCTATGCATCTTTGATAAAGTTTCCACAAATGCACTCTCACTTCAGACGAATTTTAAAACATTTACATAGTGCTTAAAACTCATGTAAATACTACACTGAAAAGCAGAGGTACCTTACAAAGTGACCAAAAGCCACCACGGAAAAGACATATCTTACAACTGTCCCTTATTTGGAGGGACTGTTCCTCTTTAGAACCAAATCCCTCTGTCCTTCATTCCTCCTCAGTTGTCCTTATTTATCGAATGAAGAAATATCTTTGAAAAGGTTCTGTTTAACTACCAAATGTGTTATTTTGCACTACAAACTTATTATCTCTTAATAAACTTGTTTACTATTTCAAAAAGCCACTAGAAAGGAAAAGTAATGGTGATATAAAAGACAATTCTGGATTCAACCAATCCTTGTGGCCAGGGGCGTAACTAGAAATAACAGGGCCCAATAGCAAAATTTTGTATGGGGCCCTTTGATTTCTAGTTACGCCCACCTGATATCCCAAACAGCGTACTTGAGCGTGACCCTGCAGAGCCCACCATAGACTCTGTATGGTGTGCTCTGCAGGGTCTCAGGTGGGCTGGTCAAGACCTCTTACCTGTCAGCCCCAATCTGCTGTCCACCTCCTCCTCCTACATGGTCGCTGGTGGGCTCCGCCTCCTCCATAACCGGGCCCCGTCTCCTTCGCTGCCGATGCCAGGCCCATCCTCCCCCTCCGCATTTGCTGGTTGTCACTGACTCAGCAGTGGCTGTGAGCAGGAACGCACCGCTGCACACATCACTGATAGGTTGTCAGTAATCTGAACAGCGGCGCGTTCCTCCTCACAGCCGCCAGTGACAGCCAGCAGCCTGAGATACGATAGTGACCCAGGTGGCCCGCAAGGCATCAGGGGGGATGTCCTGGCCAGGCCCCCCTATGCCCCAGGCCCTATAGCGGCTGCCTGGGTCGCTATGGCGATTGTTCCGCCACTGATTGTGGCATATAAATTCTTAAAATACTGACGGGTCTTACTCTTTCTGTAATGTATCCAAAACGACAAAAAAAATTTGGGCTTTAGCTTTACTTTAAAAATTTCAATTATGTGGCACACATGCATAAGCAACAGTGCAGGGTATACTTATACACTTAACAATCACACTTAAATCTTCAGCGCTCATGTTTGTGTAGTGGAAGTAGCAAAGCTAATTAGTCCTCCGAGGAAGGCTGCTAAGAAACAAAGACTGGAAAGTGAGAAAGTGAAGAGAGAAAAAAGAAAGCACCTCTACCTCGTGGAGCAATGTTTGATAAAAGCAGTAAATCATGTATTCATACCAGAAGACTCTTCAAGCTGGTTTAACCAGCTGATAGACCAGAGGCACGGTAGCTGGCTGGTCCAGCTGGTAGAGTCTTCTGGTATGAACATAACGTTTACTGCATGCCAATGAGAATGAGATGTGATGTGAAGGTTCTGATTTAGTATGTCCCACTGCTGGATTTTCAATTAAATGTTACATGTGAGTATAACAAGTTATTTATTAAAGTTTTAGCTTTATCAAAACGTTGCTCCATGACGTAGAGGCGCTTTCTTTTTGCTCTCTTCATATAATGTTGCACTAATATAATAGAAAATTGGAGTATGATGCATACTTATAAAGCTAACATTCTGACCCTTCTTTATTTTCCACAAAGCCTTGAAGCACTTGAGAGGTTGGGAAGATGTGGATGACGAAATCCAGGAAATGTATCAAGAGGACCAGTCAGAAAAGGCAGAGGGGCGCCTATCAGTCAAGAACTTGTGCTCATTCCGTCCACTGCGTTGGCAGCTCATCTCTGTCATTATACTGAATATGGGACAGCAGTTGTCAGGGATCAATGCAGTGAGTGATGAAAATTCTACAGCTTTTCTTGCAATCTGTTCAACATAGGCAATTCCAACAACAAAAGCTACTTACATGCATTGCTTTATGTCTTAGAATCTGGGCGAAACAATAACTGCCACATAAAAAAACACATGATTTATTAAGAAAGCACAATGGAAATCTCAAAGATAATAAAATCTGACAAGTTGCACATTTATAGTTCTCGTTCATGACCCTTTCAGTCATATCATCGTGTCATGCGAATGCCCCAAAATATAAATTTAGTACAGATACTCCCAACTATGTTTCATATTTATTTATTTGAATTTTGTTTCCATTCAGGTTTATTACTATGCGGACAGTATATACGGAGCAGCTGGAGTGGCAGATGACACCGTTCAGTATGTCACAGTGGCAACTGGATCTGTCAATGTTCTAATGACACTGGCTGCGGTGAGTTCTGTGGGTGCCTATAGATGAGCAGATATACCCTGGGAAACAACAGGCAGGGAGGTATCTTCCTGTCCTGCTAACCCCGATATTTGACTGATGATGTAAGTGGCACATATGTGGTGCTTTGCTTTTTCACTCTTCACCATAAAGGAAAGAAGAATCATGACCTGATCACTTGGAGCTTTTCCAGCAAGATGGGAAATCTTTGTGTGCATTTTTAAGCATCTTAGATTTCCTTAGACTTTCTTAATGGCCTTTGAGGCAGTACAAAAAAGACATGATCATGGCAAGGAATAATATTGTGCAGAGAACAATGTAACAAATTGTTTCAGCACTGTATATCTAATTATCTTAAAGTGGATCTATGGGCAAAGTCATAGATTACATTTATCCCCATAGATTCACTTTAAGCTGTTTGTGTTTCCATGTCCATACAGTTTTGCACACTACTGTATTATATAATAATTGGATTTTTATTGTTTTCTGTAACAAGCAGAAAAAGGTATGATTCTTTATTTTCAATTGCTATTGTGTATATAGTTTGTAAATGCATTGCAGATAATATAAATGTGTCATTCCTTCACTTTGTGGTTGTAGGTCTTCATTGTGGATTCATGGGGAAGACGACTGCTACTGCTCATAGGCTTCGGAACATGTTGCACTGCTTGCATAGTGCTAACTATTGCTCTGATTTATCAGGTAGGAATTGTGTTGCTTTTAAATGATTTACGCTGAATTTCAGGTCTTGAATTCTGACTTAATCATAAAGGGAAGATCCAAAATCACTATAAATGGTGGTTTGTGTATCCAACCCCAAGTCACAGCATCTCAGATCATTAAAAGTTAAAGTGAAACTTTCTACACCCTTAGGTGTTTCAAAAGCTTCCTTCCCCAAACATGCAGCCCGTTCTGCAAATTTTGACTTATAGTCAATAGCTAAAACTTCATCTCCATTTCTAACCATCCTCCTGGCCATTGGTGTATGCCTACTGTCCTACAGAGAGCAGTAACACATGGGAGTCACAGCAAGGGCAAAGTGGCATTGATATATGCACTGTAATTGACAGCCTGGCTTCATCGTTTTAATGCTGTGTGAGGGACAAGATGGTAAAGCCCAATCACAGGATGCAGTGGAAAGGATCCTCATGTGTAACAATTATTTTCAGTGTTATGCCTTATGAACTAAAAATTTAAGTGATAATAGAACCCATATAATTGTGGCGTAAATTGTAGACAAATTACTGCAAATACTTTTAAACAATAAATAGGAAAACATTAAAACTACAATTCCAAGACTAGGTATTTGGTAAGGATTACACTCAAAATATATTAAAAAATGTGTGAATATAAATGTTGACCCAAATTGCCTTTCAGACCACTGTAAACTGGATGCCGTACCTCAGCATAGTCTGTGTAATTGTTTATGTCATCGGCCATGCCATTGGACCAAGTAAGTAGAACAATATTGTGGCTCTTCAAGTAAGTAAACACAGCATTAATTAACATGATGTTTGGGTTCAAATTATTAACAGATCACTCTGAGCAGTCAAAATGTCTTTTTTGGTTATTAGTAGAAGTTGCAGGGCTACTGTTTCTCTTCATAGTTCATATCTTGTAATCTTGTGGTCCACTGGGGGATTCTAAGCAGCCATCATTTCCCTCATGCTTGTCAATGCTGGCAACAAATATGAAAGACAGTAGGTACCAATTAAGGATGTGGTTTGGATTACAATAATCAACTTTTGAGTCTGCCTCGACAGTAGCTCCTTAATTGCACCTCTCCCCCTCTGAATATATATAGAAGAAAAAATGAAAAATAGGGGTTTAAGAGAGGTATACAACCATACTTGTGTAAAAAAAATCTCAGTATGTATTGTACATATAATAAATAAATAAAAGAAGTCATTACAAATGAATGTGAAGAATTGTTCATATGAACAATGAACAATGAATGACAATCATGTTTGCAATCATGGATATTGAATCAAGTTGTAACTGGCTGACGTTGGGCATATCCTGGGCACTTTGTGTATGTTATAGATCATTGTTTTTTTTATTCTTATGAATTGTAATTACTTCTTTTATTTATTATATGTACAATAAATTCTGATATTTTTACACAAGTATGGTTGTATACCTCTCTTAAACCCCTATTTTTCATTTTTTCTTCTATAGATGTGGTTTGGATTACCCGCCACTATAGGTTTGTTGCAAACTCTATGTATTCAAAGTTAATGGTGATGGTCATCTGATCCGGGAATTTGCCTGACCAAATTCTTTGTAACCATAATGCACTGCCTGGCCTTTAAACTTAGGTCAGCTGGCTTAGAAAGGCCAATAAGGGGGCTTTTGATTAAGCCAGCTCTCTCACTAAAAAGGGTAAGGTCACAGCAGACATATTGACAATGCGCTTTAGTATTAGGGTTACAGTCATGATTAGTGAGTTGGTTAGTGTTAGGGTTTCATTGAGGACTCTATAACAGCCAGAGACGGATTCCCCACCAGGCCAACCGAGGCCCGGCCTTGGGGCAGCAGGGAGTAGAGGGGCAGCATGGGTGTGGAATTCCAATCTCCCGACGCACGGGACATGCACTTGGCAGGTAATTGTTTTCTACATTTAACCCTGCTTTGGGCAAGCAGGGCTAAATGTACAGCGGAAAAGCAACCACTTGTTTTGTACAAGTAATCTCGGTGATGTCTCCAAGATCACTTGTATGCAGCCTGCATACAGGGGGGTGCATTGAGGAACCTGGCATTGGGGCAGCAGAGAGAGTAAATCCGGCCATGATAATAGCATCACAATAAAATAACCAGTGTTATACTCGAGGCGCTGTAATCTAATGCAGCAGTCACTTGATATATAGTATAAAAGGCCCTTTCTTTTTGCTCAACAGGTTCTATAGCATATGTGATTACAACTGAGATGTTTCGGCAGGCTTCCCGCCCTGCAGCCTTTATGATAGCTGGCAGTGTTCACTGGCTATCAAACTTCACTGTTGGGCTCATATTTGAATTCCTTTTGGTAAGAGCACATTCATGATTTACTGGATGTTGGAGTATTCTCTCGGTGCTGTTTGACCTTCTGGTCTTCTAATGCTGCTCACAAATATTATAATAAAAAAACAAGCAATTTTGGATTCAGTAGTTTCAGACAATCTTTCACTTGAAACCAATTGCCCAACTCAGAAAAGATACAGATATATCTGGTCAAATTTATGGGATTTTCCTTTTGGGCTCAATTGCTTCTTTTCACTGAAAACAATTGTTTAATGATCTAACACTGATTTGAGACGAAAGAGTGTTTTTGTGATGGGCCAATGTTTAAAAACCATGTGGCCAACCTAAGCATCCTCTGAAATAGTAGGGTTTTACTGCTAAACAATAATGGGTACTTGTGATTGTCATTAGTGGAAATTCTCTTTTATCATTTGGAGACTGTTCCCTTCTCTTCACGTGATATTTATTTTCTGTTCCAGAGTGGATTAGGCTCATACTGTTTCATCCTCTTTGCTACCATCTGCTTAGCAACATTCCTCTTCATATATTTTGTTGTTCCCGAAACCAAAGGAAAAACCTTCATTGAAATCAGTCAAATAATGGCAAAGAGAAATGGACTTGAAGAAAAAACAGACTCCAAGGAATTCGAAGACCTAACATCACCAACATCCAAGGGCATGCCGATAGAAGAAGATGGTGTTATCAAAAGTGCATTGTGACCAGCTGTCTCCGCAGAGGACTCTCTGTAGCCATTTGTTTAGTTAAGATGCAGCAGAAATCCTAGTGATATAAAGGTTTTCAAAACAGCTAGTCAGCTATAGTCAGGTTTTTTTTAATGATTGACAGCAGGTACTATTTAAAATCACTAGCGCAATCATGATGACATACAGTACCTGTTGCCATGCAAATGAAAGTTCCCACTATGCTGACATCTTCGTACTTGATGCACAAATGTTATTGCATCATACCATCATGCGTCATATATTGCTGCTGTGTGCCTAATGAATGTAGGTATTTTCTTTAACCTATATAGCATGGCAGATGGGCCCCTGAGGAATGCTTGCCCATTTGCAACAATGTCCATTGTGACCTTTATTTGGCCCTTTTGCAACAGTGTGCATTGTGATCTTTCTTTTCACCTACGCTTTGTGGGGATCTGCTCTTTACATAACCACAAGCCAAGCATATGGAGTTATTTGCTTGTTAGGAAGTTTGTGTACCTCATTTAATACAGTATTTCCTTATGCCACTCACCTCCTGTGGATTTGTAACATTAATTTAAAAAAGGAAATCATTTCCTTTAGGCATTAGGGTTTTTTTAGGCTCTGATTGTCTTATTAACTAGCAAGAAACATTTGACTATTTGTTACCTTAAAACAAAAAGACTTTCAACAGAATTCCAAAAAAACAAAGTGCTAATTTTGTCATTTTGGGTTATTGGGTGCATACATACCTCTGCTTTATAGCACAGACTAACTTTCCAGAGTGATTTATCCATCCTGCATGCATATTTTCATTATTTGTTCATCAGCCATGCAATATATGAAAAACATGGCTCTAAGGATTAGAACTTGACCCTTTTTATGTATCAGCTATGAGTGGACAAGCCACTTCCAATACTGTAATCTTAAATTCAAGCCCAAACGTCTCGCTTATGTTTTTTTTCTTAGTAATAAGTACACATCCAAATGTTAATGTTAAGTGCTGATTAAATATTATTAAATAACAGTCAAAATGCTTATTTATTAAGGCAAATAAGTAAAAACAGCAAGCCACTGCCAGCACTCAGAATTTAGCATTCATTGTTCTGAAAGCTTTAAATTGATTTTTAAAAAGTATTAATTTTGATATGGAATTCCACATTTTGCACAGTATCACTGTTCCTTTCCTTATGACATAAGCCCAACAGTAAGATTATCTTGCAATAGTTTACAAAGAGGGACACATTTAGATAAGTAAAGAAAAAAGCAATGTTGTGTATTGTTAATTAAACATAGTCCAGCATATGAATACATGGCAGCTATGGGTTACAGTTGTACAGAATTTACTGGTTTTACAGATATAAAAGAAAAGTATGATTTACCTGGTGAAAATGAATATAAATGTTAAAGTATTTTACACAAAACAGAATATTTAAAGGACACCTGACCACATGAGAACTGTATTCAGAACTGTATTCAGATAGCTGGGGTGGACATATTAGATGTACAAACCGGACTGCTGCACAGGGACAGTAATGGTCAAAGAAAACGATTAAGGAAGCCTCAGAAAGGAACCTGCTATTTCAGAATTCAGCCCAAGTTATGATAATAGAAAGTTTAAAGTGACACTAAACTCAGGAGATAAATCTTAAAAATGCATTCAAGCGCCTTAACTATTAACAAAAATGTTCCTTATTTGTGTTACACTCAACTGGAGATCCTCAAATCATCTCTGAATTGGTGCTGACACTGTCCTTCCTTCTGGAGGGTGGCTACTTTTGTTCCCCATGGTCTCTGTGTGTGTTGTAAAGTAGCCACCACTCCAAGCTCACTCCCGGGATGGACTACAATCTCATGTTTAGTTTACTCATTTTTATTGAACTTGTAGTTCATCATGGGAGTGATCTTTGAGCGGTGGCTACTTTACAACACACATAGGGACCATGAGGAACCAATGTAGCTACCCTCCAGAAGGAAGGACAGTGTCAGCATGAATTCAGAGATGATTTGAGGATCTACCACTGAGAGATGCACAAATACATTTGTTAGTAGTTGAGGTACTTGAATGCATTTTTAAGATTTCATTCCTGAGTTAAGTGTCACTTTAAAGGTATTACAGAAGATCAACTGAATTGTCACGAGAAGTGGAGGGTGGGGTGCTGCTGATGTCAAAGGGGACACAACTGAATAGGTCTGTTCATACACACATATGATAAAGGCAAGCATATGAACTACATGGCATTGTAGGTTCCGTATAAGTCTCTAGTGTGCATGAAGTGTAGTCGCAAGCAAAAAAGCACCATGTTTCACCTAAGAATAAGCCCAAAAGTATGGCTTAAGTTAAGGGACACAATCTTAAGGTGGCAAAATTTTCATTTCTCCACAGGGGCTACCTATATAAGTCCAATTTGGCTAGCTCAGTCTCTATCTGTATGGCAGATTTTAAGTAGGGCAGTAATAAAAAGTGTGAGTTGACAACCCTGATGTGCAGTAATAAACAATACTCCATGGTGCATGTTGTTCAATAACAATGGAATGTTCTAAGTGGATAAAAAAGTCTGTTGGGGTAAGACAAACACCTGGTGAAAATCTAAAATTTGGTCTTGTAAAGGCAGCTTTCATGGGAAAAAGACCTTTGTTGAGACAATTTCATAGACCCTGAAAAACAGTCCCCTGCCTAGGTCACCAAAGAGATACCTAACAGAGGATTCTGTAGTTACCGTAGGTTATGTTGTACGCAGATCCAATGGGAACATGGCAAGTTGCAGATAGAAGAACAATAAACCTTTTTTGGTTGCATTAACCATAGGCTATAATTTATGCAGCCAATAAAACTTTACTGTGATTCTACCAGCACAATCTTTTTAAGGTCTAATTGGATCCACATATACCATATCTTAGACACAACCTTCCCTGTATAGTGATGAGTGCACACTTTTCAGTTGATCAATGTAAAGCATCCTTGAAAGGAGGTATTGTGCAGAGTGTACTTAACAATTACATATCAGTTTTGACCTGCTGTTTACAATAGTATGAACTGATATGTAGTAATCTCTTTTCACAAACATAGGTCAATGAAATGTGAAGGCCAGTCTATTGTATGCAGGTATTTAACAGTCAAAAATAAATCAGGTCTTATCATTTAGTTCAGAAGGATTACACAGCATTCTCTATGAGCATGATTGTTTGCAGAATGGCAAAATATTAGAGGTTTCCTTGCCTCATCTAGAAAAAAAGACTTGTCTGTGGACAACATTACAAAACAAGGGCCATAAAAAGACTATAGCAAAAGTAGTTTGAGTCAAACAAGTCATGTAAATAATACATAACTATGAGCAATAGAAAATGAGGAAAATTGAATTGGTCAGGCTGCATATTCCTTGGTGGCCTTACAGAGGCTTTATTCTCCATAGCGCTTGTAGGTTGTATGCAGTTGGAAAAGGTTGGGATAGGTTGCCATGCAGCTGGAAATCATATTCTGGCTATGTAATACTTTCTACACATGCCAGTACTTCAGGGGTCCTGATATTCTTTACTTTAAGAGCATGTTAGGCAGAGGAACTGAACCAATTACCATGAGCACAGATTTGAAAGCAGCATTTGTACTCCATCAGGTATTCCCTAATGTTCATGGTGCCTGTTTAATTCCCTGAAGCTGCCGTATAATTGCAGTTATCCCTTAGGAGACTGGTCCGAAAATTAGGTTTTGAAAAGATTTATAGATAAGAAAAGGCTAATTTACTTACAGCTGTTATCTTGCTCGAGAATAACCCCTCCTGCTACAATCATGGTAGTCTCCCCCCAGGATATGATATTTCCTTTAAGACCAACAGCTTGGCACTTGCTTAAGGACATAATCTCTTCAGCACTTAGTAGAGAACTCCAAAGATGGAGATGACTTAATATTCCATAGAAACCAGTGTTATATATTCCTATGAGATCAGATCGTTCCTTTGCCAGAAGAGCTAATCCTCCCGGTTTCACTGTGTACCCTTTTTGGACAGTCAGCTCCTTGCCTTGCAGGCCACTCACAAATAGCTCTGTTCTTCCAGTGGCTGAGTCCCATCGCATACAGTAATGCACCCAGTCTTCAGATGTATGGTGTATCTTGAAGTCAACCAGTGTCCCTCCCACCCACAGCCTAACATCAGACCCTACACTCAGGACAAGCTCATTTTCAGAATCTATCGTGGAATAGGTAAATAATTTTTGGATGCCTTCAGGTTTTGTTCTTAACCATGCACAAAGCGTGAAATTGGTCAACTGGAGTGGTTCTGAAAGCTGGATTTCAACATAAGAAGCTGGGTGCTTCTTGGAAAAGTGGAAAGATGGATAGAATGGTACAGCAGAAGGACCTAGAGGAGAAATAGACAACTATATAAGATGTCATGCAATAATATTAGATTGTTTAAAACAGATAAAGCCTTAAAGTTTACAGCTAACTATAAACATAAGACTGCAATGAAATGGGAATTGATTTATGTGATTGTCAGTAGACCCCGAACATTCCCATATAGTACAACAGCAAAAGGTTTCCCAGCACACTCACCAGCCAGCATGCAGAAAAACGTGTCTCACCGCTAAGGTTAAAAACAGAGGTTTAGATACACGTCTTCTGCAGAAAATGTGAAAGCCGCACAGCCGCGCCAAGGCACCTCTATATAGTGCGGTCCTAACTCTAAACTATGAGAGTCTCCATCTTGGAGCACATGTGACAAAAGATAAAATTGGGTGCAGGTTTGTCAGGAGGAAGCCCAGCCTCCTTAAAGGCACAGGAACGAACAAGGGACCCTGCACATCACAACAGCCATATAGGGCACTGAAGAAATTTTGGAAACACTTCCTTTAGTATACATTAGTCAGTGGACCAGATTTCCCTTGCAAGAAGCCTAAGGACTTGTTCACACCATGTCTGGAGCAGATCTGCCAAAGCAGTGCAGTGCATTTTTGCTGCGTTTTTACAGCGATTTTGCTGCCTTTTTTTAAGCCTAAAATGGGCTTTCAGGTTCAGTCCAGAGCATTTCAGTGCGTTTGTATGTGTTTTTGATGCATTTCCAGTGCATGCCAGACCAGACAAAATAAGACAAGCAGTATTTTTTTTGTCTGGACTGGAACCACCGTGTTTCCCACGCTCCGCTGCCCCTCCTGCGAGTCCAGGACCAGCCTGTCGGGCGGCGGCGGGAAGCTGGGGAGGAGATCGGCGAACGGGAACTGTGGGGAACGGGAGCGATAAGTATTACATCACCAGAGCCGTAACTAGCTCCTTCTACGCCCAAGGCAAGAACAGAAAAATGTGCCTCCCAACCGACGTGTGCGGTATGTGACGCCATGTGACCTGCCTCCAGGATGGCGGCAGGCATATACGCAGATTGCGCTGGCGGCCAAATCCAAAATAGCATAAAAATGTTTTTTTTTGTTTGACGAAACTTCACTCGCGCCATGGTAGCTACAGCCCTGTACATCACTTCTGGTACCATAGCTGTCATTGCTCGGCTCCTGAAGCCAAGCAATAAGCTATTGATGTGTGATCTGCACTTTAATAACTTATTTAAAGTGTAAAGGTGATACTAGGGGTCTTTTGGGATCCCCAGTATCACCTTAAATAGGACCTGTCACTGCCAATATTCTATCACATGGGAGAGGGGGGCTTGTAAGCCCCCCTATGTGATAGCAATTAAAGTTAAAAAAAGTTTTAAAAATAAAATGAAATAAAATAAATGTAAAAATATTTTTTACAAATGTTAAAGTCCCCCACAAGCACCCGCGTCTTCACTTAAACTCGTGTCGTGTGCGCCCCCATATGCGAAAACGACAATCTTGCTATACATGTTGGGTATTGCTGCGCACGCCAGAGTGATAGTAATAATTCTGGGGCCAATATGTATGCGTGTCTCTAAGCTGATGACCTGTAGGGGCTTTTAAAGCGGTCTATGGACTTTTTGGGGTTCTGATTGTGTCGCAGTTTCACGGATACACACAATTTTTAACCTGAGCATGTTGGGTATCTATTTACTCATTGTAACCTCATCTTTTGTATTTTACCAAAAAAAAGGGTTTTAATTTAACCTGAGTGCATTTTTTACTAACGTTTTGGGTTTGATAATAAGTTGCGCTAATGTCGTGCAACATAAAATTCTGCAACTGCCATCATTTTATTCTACAGGGTCGTGGCTTTCAGAAAAGATATAATGTTTGGGGGTTTGAAGTAATTTTCAGGCCTAAAATGTGGATTATAACATGTAAGCAAAAAAAGAAAAAAAAAAAGATCTTGGTCCTTAAAGGGTAAATCTGTGCTGTTGGCAGGTGTCTCATAAACCTAAACCAGAAGACTGCTATCAAATATCTGTTCACACGTCAGCCCATGTTATATTCACTAAAGGGTGAAGAGTTTGGAGAAGGCAGGAGAGGTGAACAATCTAGGACAACATAGCTGAATTGGAAAGTGATCTGAATTGGATAATTTTTCCAAATCAGCTATGTTGTCCTAGAAGATTGTTCACTTCTCCTGCCTTCCCCAAACCCTTCACCCTTTAGTGAATAGACCTGTAGCTAGTTTTCTTACTCTCCACTGAAAGGTATGGTGTGCTAGAGTTCATTATTCTTCAACCCTGTGCAGGCTGGGTAGTGGCATTCAAATTTTCTGTATAACAGTGCAAAAGAAATTAGGTTTCTGGTTGCAGAGTCTAGAAAGGATTTCAGTGTGGGCACATTAATTAATGTATTTACTTATTTATTTATTATTGTGGAGAGGTGTTTTCATCTTTTAAGATCTGCTAGGACTTACCACCATAGCACCTTGTACGTTAAGTCGAAAAAGGGTACATCGCACAAAAACCTGACAAATACCCAGCAACCCACAGCTCTCTGTGTCCAACTAGTATATGATAGTAGAAATATGTCACCAGCACACCAGTCCAATCATTAGAGCAAATAAATGTCCATTTATTGACGTATGTTGTCTCTCATTTGCAAGCGCTTTCGGGGCCACGCAGGCCTTCATCGAGCTCAGAGATGAAAAACGTTAAATGATTATTGACTACCAAGTTTAAAAATAATGAATAAATGAGAGAAAGAGAGAGAGAGAAAGAAAGAAAAAGGAGAGGTTAGAGAGAGAAAGATGGAGGGAGGATAGGGGGAGAGAGAGAGAGAAGAAAAAGAAAGAGAGAGAGAGAAAGAGAAAGGAGAGGTTAGAGAGAGAAAGATGGAGGGAGGATAGGGGGAGAGAGAGAGAGAAAGAAAGAGAGAGAGAGAGAAAGAAAAATGAGAGGTTAGAGAGAGAAAAATGGAGAGAGGATAGGGGCAGAGGGAGAGAGAGAGAAAAAGAGAAGAACAAGAAAGACAAGAGGGGAGAGAGAGAAAGATGGGGGAGAGAGAGAATGCCCCAAGTCCTTCTTTAAAGCATACACCATTTGATCACTTACCTGAACGACCCTTCAGAGGATCAGTTATCACACGTTTCTTCACATCTAGAATTTCAGTCTCAATCAAGCTCAGTTTAGTGCTGATGTCATGTTGACATACTTCTCCTGAAGATGTACAGGAATAATTATGGTCAGAAAAGTATAAAAAAAAATACCCAACAACTTGTAAAAGCTATTTTAGTAAGTAGTGTTTAAAGCCATGTCACTACTTATGCTGCCCAGGATTCCTATACCTATCCTATTTCATAACATATGATGCATCCAATTCACCCACAATCCCTTAAACTGTCTTGTATAATGTTCCAGAAACACTCCAGCACTGGACTTTATCTACTAACGCAGCACTCACCTTTTGGCATTTTTACCCGGAAAGATGATTCTACAACACGGTCATTGAGAGGCTGAGCATGGCGATAATCATTACGTAAGGTGTTATTGTGCCAATCCAGCAGAGTGTTTTCCAGTAGCTTGATCTGCAGAAGATATTTTACTTAGATCATCTTGACAAGAAATTATATACATATTGCAGATGGGGGCAGCCATTACATATGCTAAAATTAGCAAAATTGATCCTTGGATACCACATTTGACACAATTTCCAATTCCCCATTGAGTAAAAACAGATACAGAAATTAAAAAGCAGCCATATAATGCATGAGCCAGACCCACCGAAAATGTTTTATTTCATGATCTGAATGCAGACATGTGGGTTACTTTCGCACATACTGTAGCTGTGCTTTGAAATGACATACGTGTCATATAGAATAAAAAGATCCACCTCAGATGTTAAATGCCACATACTGTAGGTATGCCTCCCAAACTTACAGTGAGCTGTTGAATCAAGGCATACAAAGGGTTACTGTCTTCCTACCCTCACTCACTTGACCCTGTACCGGAAGTCATATAGTGCATCATACCTGGAAGCATTAAGTATTTACCAAGGTCTCTGATGGAGCTGAGGGAAATGAGTACCAGCGGGTGAGGGTTTGTTCTTTTAAGATAATCTGCCAGTTTGCCCTGAATGGGCACAGACAGGTTCTCTTTAAAGGTTGGCAAATGTTCTTTACTCAACCACCAGTGTTCTGAAAGACACATCTATGGCCACTTATAGTGTTTATTACAACTGAGAATAATTAACTGCTATTTCTTAAGCCAGGTAATACAGTGTCGAATTTCATCAGTGTTCTGATGAACTGGCCGAAATTTACCCAGTTGAGCCACTGTCGGCACCCTTCCATCTGGCATCCCTCGATCAGCTGATTGAAGGAGCAGGTTGGAAAATTCTCACGAATGGTAGCCAATCAGCTGCAAGCTCATTTTGGGTATTCTGACAGCAGTCGGCAGCTGATGTCAGAATACAATAGAAACAACAGGGGATTCCACCATCTACACTCGTAAGCGTGTAGATGGTGGCATTTTGGCCTCTTTCCTGGGATGACACAGTCTGCCAGTGTGGGAATTTTACCTGGTTTTGAGATAGCATAACTTTTGAGTCAAACACGGTCCACAGCACATTCTCCGTACAGGGTGGAGTGGTCAGAGAACCCTGGTAACGATAGAAGTTGTCCAAGTTGTCAGGAAGCATTGCCAGAGGATCAAGAGTTTTTACTTCTGTCATTTGGCCTGAACACAAAGAAAACTGTATCAACACCCAGAAATTTGTGAAAACATATTAATGCTCAATTGTAGTTAAATAGAGGAATTTATGGTATGCCAAAAACACAACATTTTAAAAGTGATGCTTTGATGTGACTTTTGCTGGAGCTTTAGTGGAAGTCAACTAACGACTCTCTAGTTGAAAGCAGTGGTCTATCTGCACCAGTCTGACAATACCCCTGCTCAGTTACAACTACAGCTCTGAAATCAGCAACACTTACCTGCTCCGGGTGTTGGTGAATGCAGAACTGTAGTTCTGATTAAGCATTGGGTATGGGGTAAGTGCTTGTCGTACATTTTTTAAATTACTTTACAACCATCGCAAGACTAGGGTCTTGCGATGGTTGTAAAGTGTATGGTCACCTTAAGGTTCACCTGTAGCCTACTGCCAGAGTACTTGTATTTTCTGCTGGCGCTGGAATGGAATTAAAAGCCACATCTAAGTAAACATTTAAAACATTTTCTTGCTCTTTTAGCCCTCATTCACATGGGTAAAGGCCGGCCCGTACAGATCCGTGCTGCGTGCACAGTTGCATCGGGCAGCTCCCGGGAAAGGACAGGTGCTGGATGTGATTATACGCAGGAGCCTGTCCTTCTCTATTGGAGTAAGCGGCCGTACACCGCTCTATGTTCACCCGACCTGCACGTCCATGTCAGAGATATGCTGCTTCCGCGCATGCGCCAAATCCGGCTTCTCGTACTACGCTTGCACGCATCGAAAAACGCGCCAAAGTGGCGCACAGGAAGTGACGCTCTCTGGATAGTTTTCTTCCCTATTTAAACTCGGACTCCACACCAACTCATTGCTGGATTGTCTATTCAACTGCCCTGACGTCTCCTGTTCCTTGTTACCAGTACCTTTGATTATTGACCCGGATTGAATTTGACCTTGTTTGCCTGCAGCCTGCCCTTGACCTCGGATCGTTTGACCACTCTTGTTTGCCTATGCCCTTGACTTCGGATTGCTTCACTGGACTGCCTGCGCCTTCTCCTTTTGTATCTGCTCTGCCTGCTCGGTGTGACCTCGGCCTGTTGACTTCGGATATCGGGATTTCCACAACCCTGCTGCAAAACCATATATTGGCCTGCACGGTGATACCACCTCTGGCACTCCTGCCACTCACTGTCTATGAGGACTCTGTCCCCAATACCAGAGTCCCTAGGACACGAGGTGCAAGGGAAGTCTCCTCCTACATCCAGTCTCCACACAGGTACGTGATAGTCCATGTGGGTGCGGGTGTCCATACTCATACACTGACAGGATGGATCCTGTCTGCGTCCGAGCAGGGACGCCCGCACCCGTATGGACGCTTGGGTCAAGTGAGCGTAGGGCTGCCTATGGCTGCGTACGCCCATAGAGAAGGACAGGCTGCTGCGTATAATCACACACAGCACCTGTCCTCCCTGGGAGCTGCCCGATGCAACTGTGCACGCAGCGCGGATCTGTACGTGTGAATGAGGCCTTAATTTCTCAAATTGGTTTGCCGGGAAACTGCAACTGAGCTTTTGATATAACAAAAAATAAAATGGAATTATTAAGCAGGCATACACTCATACACGCACATAAAATAAACAGCCAGAAATGAGTGGTCTGTTTCTTGATAACCTTAGAGACTATAAAAAATGAGCAGGGTTTGTTTAAAGATGGCCATTTGGAGTGCATTATGTTGTCCCTTATTTAATTTGACAGGGAAGGTATAAGAACTTGTAATAAACATTGCAAAAATCCTTGAAC